GAGGGAGCGGCCGTTTCTGTGGAAAGCGGCGGTGAGGGCGCGCAAGGCCCCAGGAACACGGGCCTCCCACGAGGCCTCCCCCATTTCCAGGGAGTGCTCGAGGCTGGATGGGGCTCTGAGCAGCCTGCTCTGCCGGGACGTGTCCCTGCCCGTGCAGGGGAGTTGGAAGTCGGTGATTTTTAACGTCCCTTCCAACCCAAACCGTTCTATGATTCTAATACGAGACCACCTAAGCATCACCTCACAGGCCTCCGAGGGGCTGAGCAGCACAGGCGCACAGAGGGTTTTACAGAGCAACAACCCCTTGTTCAGGCCTCGTGTGCAAGGCTGAATTTAACCTGCAGCAAACAGAATGTTTGAGTCTTTGAAAGCAAAGCTGAAACTACTAATTTTTCAATAAACGAAAGCCTGCAAGACAGTGTAGTTTAACAGGGTATGAGCAAAAATAAGTTCTCGTTTGAAAAATGAATAAAATCTGACAGCACGAATGTTCATATTTCAGCAAAGGTTCATCATTTATGTGAAAACGTTTCTGCCCCAATCTCACAGATGAGAGAAGCACTGTCAGTGATAATGATTTAATCATTACGTGGGTATTTTCTTGTAACTCCTTACCAAACAACAAACAAACGCAATGCCAGAAATGTGAGGAAATGACACCAAGTTAACAGGAAAACAAGGAAAAGGCAGAGCTGTGTCAAGACCCAATAAGTGTTTCCCCTTGCACTGTCTCCTGAACAAGAGACATACATAATGTGCAATGTTGTAAAATGTGCTTAAAAACCTCTTTCCAGTGGTGAGCTGACATACGCTGGACAACTGAATGGTTGTGGGTTTGAGTGGCTACATAACCCTTAAGTGCTGCAGTGATCACAATGATCAGGGGTAAGTTACAGCCTGGCTTTTATCGGGGGAAGCACCGCTGAGCCCAGACTGAAGGGAGATGTTCCCATGAAAACCCTGCCTAGCTGGGCCATTGGCTACTTTCTTCATTATTTCCAGAGGCCTAGTGCACACAGGCAGGGTGGGGACATATGTATAATAAGGGTCTGCAACATGATTTTAATTTTTTCGAAATTCTGATGTTTTAATTTATTTTTTTCTAGAGCCCGCTCTGGATTCCTCTGCCCCATAGTTAAGCTTCTGCTAATTAAAAGAGAAGGACGTTGCCATTCAACTTTTGCAAAGAACAGACCAGATACTTCCATTTAAATGTGCAGCAATGCTGTAAGTGTGCATCCAGCCATTTGAGGGCACGTTTTGTGTACAGCTCCACAGCCTTGAAAATCACGCTGAGCCTCAAAGGCTGCGCCTTGTTTGTTGATACCACCTCAGAAAGTGAGAGGGTGCTCTGGCTTTAGCAAGGGTTCCAAGTACTTCAGATCCAGGAATCAACCTCCAGAGCCTTTTCCTGGTGGCACTCACATAGCACGCTGCTGAAGGACAGCTGGGGAACATCTATATTTGTGCCATTGCTCACTGCTGGCATGTCCCTATCTGAGCAGAGAGGCGGTCTAGGGTTACAGCAGTAAGTCTTCCAACTGCAGTCATAGGAACCTGGCAGGGAATTGCTTTCGCGTGAATTCATTTTTACTAGGGGAAATAAATGTGAAGTTTGATGCCATCTGAGCTATCAGAAGAATTTATGACATCTTAAGATAGAAGGCAAGTTTTTAGGTAGTAACATTGTTATATATTTTCAGTAATTGATGGTCACGGACTTAAACATTCTTCACTGTAATTCTATCTGTGCCTGTAAACTGAGCAATCATCTGAAAATCTTATTTAGGCAGCAGGGTTCCAGACGAGCTCAATTATGTTCATTTTAATTTATGTAATTTAATTTCATTTTGATAGGAAAAAATACTTGTTAATTCACTTTTCTAGCTAGTAGTAGCTTCTAAAGCAAGCCTTGTTGTTAGAATTATGGGGAAAAAAGTATTTGCGGGAGCCAGACAACGTTTTCTGGTATGTGCCAAGACCTTTTCTCTGTTTAATGTGTTAGACTTTGCATGACTTATTTTATCATCTTTAGCATAAATAGTCTTTCTGCCTAACTGAAGTGTTTTTGTCTATAGTGAGATCTTGCTGTAGAATCCGCACCCATGTCTGCAGTGTCAGCAGACAAACTGTGTGTGTTTTCTTGCATAGCCGGTGGGCTGGACTGTTTTCAATCATTGATATAAAACCAGGGAGTGGAAAGTTTCTTAGCATTTTTCACTAGTTTGAGAAGTTGCTTTCTAATAAGTCACTGACTGTGTTGACTTTGTTAGCTAAGTGATCCTCAGGAATATTAGTGAAATATCGATGAACCAAATTTGAGGGGATAGCAAGTACTCAAAACTACAAAGACTATAAACAGTTGTTTAAAAGCAAACTTTATGTGAAAGGTTCTGCAGAAGCTCTGACAACCTTGATGTTTGACTGACCTTTAGCTTCTTTTCTTTTTTTTCTTTTTTTTTCCTGTGAGAAAGTGGTTTTAAAGCTTTCACATGTTTCACCGAGCTAGGACTAGATGGAACTATGGGTTCAGTAATATTCAGCTGAAATCTTTCCATGCACTCTTTTGATTGTAGTAGTAAATTGCTGGGAAAACAGAACCAAGTAGTTTTGTAGCTGTAATTTTTTTAGTGCTGGTGAACAGTGGAGGGACGTTGCAGCTCTGACAGAGCACCACGTGGTCTCTATACTAACATGATTTCATGTGCTGTTGTTAGTAGAGGCTGGGTGGGAAGAGTGGGCTTGGGGAGTCTGTTAAAATTTGCCTTTGCACCTTCAACAATGTCCCATGTGCATCAGCTTTATCATATAGCTATGCATTTCATCCATATGTGGTCTTTTCACACCTCTCTGTACAAAATGGACGAAGTGTGGGAGCTCCAGGTCTCTCAACTCAGGAGTCATTGCCTTGCTTCCTACTTACTGTATGCTCTATGAAGGAGATCACCAGGACTACTCCACAGTTTGGAAATCAGACATCAGGGTCACAGATGAGCTGCTCAGAAAACACAGGATGTGCAGCAGAGACAGCTCTGCTGGACTTTGCATAGGAGCAAATAAAAACAAGCTTCCTGTGGCTTCACTTCCAGAAGCTCCTGGAAGTGAAGTCAAAGTTAGGAAGTGAAGCTGCTGGCTTTGATCTTTCCCATGCCTGCCTCCAGGCCCTGAGCAGTCAGTCCTCACCTAAACTTATTCCATCTATATAATTTCAAGCAAGAAAAACTCGTGCTTGATATGTAATTAAGTAGCTAAGGATCTTTCTTATCTTTTACAGGATTGACACTCCCCATTTCAAAAGTCTGACAGAGGACACCAATGTCATCCAGATCTGACAGCACAAGAGGCTATGAAACTAGTGACCATGAAGGCTGTTAAAATTTGCCTTTGCACCTTCAACAATGTCCCATGTGCATCAGCTTTATCATATAGCTATGCATTTTGCATCCATATGGTCTTTTCACACCTCTCTGTACAAAATGGACGAAGTGTGGGAGCTCCAGGTCTCTCAACTCAGGAGTCATTGCCTTGCTTCCTACTTACTGTATGCTCTATGAAGGAGATCACCAGGACTACTCCACAGTTTGGAAATCAGACATCAGGGTCACAGATGAGCTGCTCAGAAAACACAGGATGTGCAGCAGAGACAGCTCTGCTGGACTTTGCATAGGAGCAAATAAAAACAAGCTTCCTGTGGCTTCACTTCCAGAAGCTCCTGGAAGTGAAGTCAAAGTTAGGAAGTGAAGCTGCTGGCTTTGATCTTTCCCATGCCTGCCTCCAGGCCCTGAGCAGTCAGTCCTCACCTAAACTTATTCCATCTATATAATTTCAAGCAAGAAAAACTCGTGCTTGATATGTAATTAAGTAGCTAAGGATCTTTCTTATCTTTTACAGGATTGACACTCCCCATTTCAAAAGTCTGACAGAGGACACCAATGTCATCCAGATCTGACAGCACAAGAGGCTATGAAACTAGTGACCAGTTGTCCAGTCGTTCAGCTTTCTCACCAGTCCCAGAGTCTAGTGAGACTGAAGCTGAAGGCTTGATATTTTATCATATGGATCTTTATGGATCAAAGGATAGGTTTGATATCTTTCCTGAAGAGCTGTCTAGTCAAGGAGACATATCTCTGGGGGATACAAGAAGGGAATCTGCACTGAGTAGCGAAAAAGTTCAGCACTCACAAGAAGCTGGCTATGACTTGGAAAAGGAGGTTGCAGAGCTGGCTAAGATGTATGGACTTGATGAGGATAGAGAAAAGGAGCTTGAGCTTCTTGGAGGACGTCTGGACACAGTGGAGAGCAGATGGCCATCTGCTCGCACAGGAAAAGCAGCTTCACAAGGCTCCATGTATAATGCATCAAAAAGCAGCTCTCCAGTGAAAGATGAAAGTCAAAACACAAAGCAACAGGAACTTCCTGGTGAGGCTTCTCAAGATGAAGAGGAGAGCAAAGCTAGAGCAGAGAATGAGGCTGACAGCCACATATGGTCCAGAGAGGGGCTTAGCAGCGGTGGCACGTCAGATGAGTGGGGCAGTCAGGCTGTCAGTGAGGAGGAGGAGGAAGCAGCATATGTTTTTTGTTCTACCTGCAAGATGCCAATCCGAGCCTTTGACAAACTGTTTGGAGAGCACAAGGATCACGAGGTGGCTCAGCTCCCCAGTGCTCTGGAGAGTGAAAAGGTAAGAGGAATACAAGGGTACTGCAGTGCCTCTAAGGCAGTGTTCAAACATACTAAGAATCATGCTGGGTGTCTTGGTAGGAGGAGATTCATAAAAACATGTGCAAGCTGGAAGAGCAGATTGCCCAGATGGAAAACTTTGCCAGTCACTTGGAGGAAATTTTCATCACTGTAGAGGTAAGGCATTTTTTCTCAGTCTAACTTGGTGGTACTGGGGTTAAAACAGCTTAGACAGTCATAGTGTTCAGGTGTTAATGAGGTGAATAATTATGGTAGCAGAGCAGAGTTAACTTGGGCTTTGCCTGGACTGAGGTACTCAGGAAAATTCATCCCAATTATTTTTTTTAAGTGGGCTAGCAAAACCACATTAAGCATTTGCACAGACACTTGCATTCAGAAATCTAGTGACCCCACTCAGGTTATCTGAGTGTTCACTGGCCAAGGGCTGTTGGGCCAAGGGTCATCCAGCTGGTCCGTCCAGAGTGTGCCCCTTGTGTGCATTCAGTTCCAGCTGCAGAAGTGTCAGGTACAGGCAAACCCTTGAGTAGCTGCATTGAGCTGCAGCACCTCAAGGGTTGTACTCCTGCTTGGCTGGTGCCAGCTTGGCCCCAGGGGAAGGGGGAAGAGCTGGCAGCAAGTCAAACTGCAGCAGTGACTCAGGGCACCTCCTGTCATCTCTCTGCTGCATGTGGAACAGGAGGACATCAGTGCCTCAACAGTGAGCAGCTGCTGGCAGTAAAGCCCTACCCGCTCCTTAAAACTTCTTTCCTAATGCTTTCTCCAGCAGCCAGTGTGGATACCAGCATTAGTTGCTCAGCTTCCCCAGTGCAAATCCATGGATCCCACTGGGTTGCCATGGTTTCTGTCATGGAAGGATGTGCTTAACTGTGTTGGTGGAAACACTTGTGAGATTATGGCTAGGGTATATGGATATATCCCTTGTTGTGCTCTCTGGGCTCTAGGTTGGAGACAGCTGCCTTGCACAGTTGTTTTCATTATAATTTTTTATGCTTTTATGTCTGAAACCCAATCCAACAGTCTCTTGTGCCTCAGTGGGGGTGAATGATTAGAATAACTCCCTAAAAATGCAAATCAGCCAAATCACAGTTTCTGTGAACTGGCATTCCCTCTCGAGCAGGGAGAATTTTAGGCAGACCTGAGTGAGATTTTTTTCTGGCTGAGTTACGGATCAGGCCTGACGCCAAGGAACAAGCCCTAAATGCCTTGCAGGAAAACTTTGGGAGGCAGGAGCAGAACTTCGAGGTGCATTACAACGATGCAATGCAAGTGCTTGCTCAGAAGTATGAAGAACAATTGGAAGCACTGGGGGAAGAGAAGAGGCAGAAGCTGGAAGCTTTATATGAGCAGCTGGTCAGTTGTGGGGAACAACTTGACACCTGCAAGGAGCTGACAGACACAACCCAGGAGCTTTGCCTGGAAAATGACAAAGCCAATTTTATGAAGGTAAACAGCTTTAGCTGGGAAGGCCCCTTCTAAATGCTCTTTGTTGCTTACAAGTAGTTGGCATGTCCCAAGTGGCTTTATGGCTGGAGAGCATTTTGAGGTGCTCAGCCCATGGTGCTATCACTGCTCGAGGTGCTTGGCATTGACCTAGTGGGGCAACACAATGGGGCCAAAATGCAGAATCAGAAGCGTAAGTTTGTAACTTAGATGTTCACTGATTTCTGAGTCTCACTGGTGTTCAGAGAGAAGATACCTGTCTAACAAGCTTATCTCAGGAAACTCTCGAAGCTCCTCATGTTCATTGCTTCATTCAGACTCAGTTCTCTTGCTCTGTTCTGGGCTCACAGCAGACAGGCTGATGCAACCATTTTGGAAGATGTTTCTTTTTCTTGCTCATTTTCTTGGAAAGTTCAGCTGAACAGGAGGCTCCAACTAAATACATCAGGAGCTCCTGCAAAATGATGGATCAATTGCATGAGGAGGTGTTGAGAAGTTGTTTTTCTCTAGTTATTTTCCTGTAGTTATTTTCTCCAGCTGTAATAACAGCTTCTGTTTTTGAAGAATCTGTTGGCATTTTGGAGATCTGAGGAAGGATGCAGTCTAGAGTCTAGATGGGTCATTGCCTGCTATTGCATGTTATCTTACCATAAAATCAGCCAAGATCAGTCCATTTGAATGGACAGTTAGATGTGGCTTTGTTCTCAGAGCTGGGTGAGAGCCAATTAGCTCACTCAAAGGGCTGCATTTGGGACAATTCATGTCAGACAGGTTGCCAGCAGGATGTAGTCTGCCTCTAGTGCAGGAAAAGTGTCTTTTCTGTCTTTAACACTCTCTCTTTTTCTCTACAGGCAGCAGTAACCATGGTTGACAGGTAGTATCACAGTTTGGGATTTTGTGTCACATTTCTTCCTGCTAATTGGACCTGTTACTGGAGATATTTGCATGTTCTGGACTCCATTCAGGCAGACAAATGTTATCTACTATATTTTGAAATCTGTAGTATTTCAGATTTAAACTGCAGCAGGAAAAGTTGCTCTAAGAAGTTCACCACTTAAAACTAGTTTTGAGCCAATTTAAAAAAACAAAGAAAAAAAACCCAGAAAACCCCAAAAAAACCTCAAAAAACAAAACCAAAAGGAGAGTTAGAGCATGAATAAATCATTCTTTTCAGCTTAGTCATAAGGAACTAATTACAGTGACTGAGAAAAAGGATTGCTAAAGATCTTGAACAAAATCCTCTGGATACAAATCTGCCTAAAACTGAGCTTCCTAAATAGATTAGTAACAGGCTTATATATGCAGTAATATAGAGGTGTAGAAAGTCTGACTGTGGGAGCTCTAAATAGATACTGAAAGATGTTGGAGCAGTTGGAAGAAATCTTAAGGCACACTACATCAATTGCAGAAGATACACATTTAAATTGAATGTCATTGTTTATGAAAACACAAGAGAAAAATACCCCTTTGTTTCAAATAGAGCCACATGGTCCTGAATTAGTAACAGAGTCATAAATTCTAAATAATGAAAGCCATGGAGGTAACTGCTTCCCACTGGGGAACTTTCACTCACCTGCTGAGGTGTCCTTGGCCCCATCAGCATCCAGCTGTATTGGGAATCCTGAAGCACCATCCTGGTGTATCTCCAAGCAAAGGCCATGGGGGAGCTGAGCTTTGTACAGTGACAAAAACATTATTTTAAGGAAATAGCTCTTGCTTTAGAGTTGGCTGTTCTTTTCCTCTTACAAAGAGGTATCATAGGAAGGTATCTCCAACACTATGGTATGTCCAATTAGATTTTTTTTTTCCCCCCCTACAATTATAGACTGGAAGAATTCTTAAAGAAAGAAGTGGATTTAAAGCTTTCAACACCACCAGACTTTGAAGCACGGGTCATAGATTTCTCTGAAGTTGAACAACTAATGAACTCCATTAATACTATTCCAGGTACTCTTCCTATCTAATAATTATTTCAGACCTGTTTACATTTAATTAAGGATATGTATTAAACAGAAATCCACTACTTCATTTTGAGGAGAACCTGCAAAGGCAGAATTAGCTTCTCCCTAGTTTTACCTCTAGATTTTGTTTCCCTATATACACAGAGACAACTGGAAGCTATTTTTTGATTCATTTTTTTTAAAACCTGTTTTCAATATAGAATTGCCAGAACTGTTGGTTTTGATCTTCCCTGCTTTTGCTGGATGGTTTCCTAGAAGAATCACAAAGACTACCCCCTTCTGTTGAGGGGTCAGGCATGTTTAGTTGATGACAACTTGTCTTACCTTCTAGTTGCTTAAATAACTTGCACAGTTTCTCTCAATAACCACATTGCAGTGGCTTGTTCCTCTGCTATTTAGCAAATATTTTTCCTATTATTCAGAGGAAACAGAGCAAAACCCAAATAAACTGCTAATAATAATAAAAAAAAAAAGTTTAAAATCTTTTCTAGCTTGTGGGGAACAGCAACTCTCAGAGGCAGCAGAGGTCAAGTTTACAGGAAAGGTTAGGTTGAGGCTTATGTATTTTGTTATTTTGATTTGCAGCAAGACTAGTTCATAAACCAATGACCTGATTATTATCTGCAGCTGTTGGGAGTGTCAGCTTCTAACTTTTCTCCACGTGGGAGGAATGTGACCCTTTCCAATGCCTAGACCTTGCACAAACACCTTTGTGAGACCAGAATTGTTTGCCTGTGAGCAACATACCATGCTTATACATTAAAAAACTGACCTGTTTTCCCCCCTGCAGCTCCTTGTGCCCCTGTGATGAATCCCCAAGCTCCCAATGCAGCAACTGGCACCTCACTGAGAGTTTGCTGGGGCCTCTTCTCAGATGACACTGTCGAGTACTACCAGCTGTGCTATAAACCAGTGAGCAATGAGCAGCAGGGTTATGAACAAGCAGGTAAGGAGGCCTGGGCCCAAAGAGACACCTCAGCTCCCCACTGGTGAAACCAGCTGGATCCAAAGTGCCTCTGACTTGCTGTGGCAAGCAGTGCATTTTCTGTGCACTCCACCACCAGAACCTTCCTATCTGCCACCACTTTTCCTGCTTCTAGGTTTGTCACTCTTCCCCTGCCAGGTCTGCCGGCTGCAGCAGGACCCATCACGGGAGCAAAGACAGGATGGGGCAGCAGCTGGCATAGCAGGGGTGGGAAGGGGAGCGTGGGTGGAGTCAGGTTTCAATAGTAGCATTTCCTTACCCGGAGGGCGAGCCCTGCCTTTGAGACTCAGGCGCTGCATCCACTGCAGAGCGCGGTATTTTTAGAGAGCAAAGCATCAGAGTGCCGGCACGCCCACCCAACCCCGCAGTCATCTTACAGTTTGTATCAGTGCTAACAATAGGCTGTAACTCCCTCTTGCCCCCACACACAAAAAGGACCCCAGAACCATCCTAAAATGTCCCAGCCTTGAGACATAACAGCCTTTGCTAACAGTGTTATCACAGAACCTTTTACTGAAAACACCAAGTCACTTCTCTAGCAAAAGTGGAAGCCAGTAGGGTGCCAAGTGGCCATTTCAGAAGGAAGAGCAGAGCCTGTCCAAATTTTATAAGATACAGAATGAGAAAGGAGTAGTGAAATAGCTTCAGCTCTAGTCCCACTGCTGGGATGAGCAGACCAGTGTCCCTGGAGTGGGAATGTGCAGCGTCTTTTTAGCAAAAATTCAGTGACAGGTGGGTTAACTTTTTTATGGGTTTTATTTCCTGCCTGATGTGGCTCCTTTACAGAAGCTGATGTGTTACCTGATCTATACCTCCTTAGAGGAAGGCATGGTGAAACAGCCTGACAGTTAATCAAAGGGTATGGAGGACAAGGAGCTCTCTTGAACTCAGCACACTAAACAATGCACTTCAACTCCATTAGTTGAGGCAGCTTTGGGAAGAGTGGATAACTGTGTAAAGGCCCTCTAAATGCTTTGTTGTTTTCATTTCAGAGCATACACTGAAAGTCAAAGAAACATACTGCACCATTACTAATCTGTTGCCAAATACACAGTATGAATTTTGGGTCAGTGCTTTAAATGCCTCTGGTATCAGTCCACCAAGTGAAAGAGCAGTTTATGTAACAGGTAATTTTTTTTTTCATACAACTGTGTGACCTTCATAGCGAAATTGATGGTCATCTCTGAGTTTTATGCCAGTAATGCTTCTGGGCACTCTGTTCACTGCATGGCAGTTTCCTACTTTAATTGGGAGAGCCCATCAGGCCAATTCTCCCTGTGTTAAGAGTGAAAGAAACAAAAGCACAGAGACAAAATAATGTATTTAAATGCAAGCCTGTAGAATGGAAGGCTCCATTCTCCCAGCTCTGACAGATAGCTGTCAGCCCTCCTTTTTATTGGCCTGGAGGTACTTAGTGGATTCACCTGCATTGCTGCCCTTTTTAACTGTAGGTCAGTTAAGCATATTTTGTCAAATCCTGACATCAAACTGAGCCAGTCAGACTGAGATCTTCAAGCACTTGTTCTAGATGTCTTTGACATCTTAGAGCAGAGGAGGTGCAGCTTTATGACCAAGATAAAACAAATGACAGAAAGAAACTGGCTGTGTAATCAATCTATGTTACTTCTCTGATTAATTCTCTTGGGACCTTTATGGTTCAAATTAAGTCTTTCAATAGTACTGCTAATCACCTTTCCTGCTGTTTATTGTCCATTGGGGAAGCAGGTTTCTTTACTATATATTATTAGTATACAACTTTGTTCTATTTTGTAAGTATTAAAGCATGTTTGTTGCAAACATTTTCAAGCAACAACTTAGAATTGTTCTATTGCCTACTTTTTAGCTCCTTCACCACCTACCATAAAGAATAAAAAGATCCAAAGCTGTGAAAACGCAGCACTGGTGTGCTGGGAATCTGGAGACATTAACCCTGTTGATTCCTACACGGTTGAATTGTCCAAGCTGACAGATGAAGAAAATGGGGATATTATTACTGAGTGAGTCACTATTCTGCCAGGTCCGTGAGCATTTCAAGTCACATGGCATCAGACAGCACTGAAAAAGGACCCATGAGCCTTTGAATTCACCTTTATGCACTTTCCTCTTGGTATAATTAATTGTATAAGTCTTAATTCAAAATTACAAGGTATGGGAAAAGGGCAGAAGACAATGTAAAAATCTGGCCAGCTTGTCACAAATTATCTTTTGCCCCTCTAGTGACAACTGTAAAAGGTAATGTGCTGTTGATGGGTTTCAAGAGAAGCTGGTGATGTCATTTCCTCCTTGTTGTTGAGAAAAATATTCCCAAAGGCCTACCTTTGTTCTCTACCCTATAATTTTCCATGGATTTATTTCCTGTAGGTCTATTGTTGGGATTCCTAACTGTGAAGTCCTCATTCACCTCCAGCCAAGACAAAACTATCGCATCTGTGTTAGAGCCCTAAACCTGGGTGGTTCCAGTGACAGAAGTGAACCTCTCCTAATACACACCACAGGTATGTACAGCTCAGAACAACTCCTGCAGCCTATTGTAGCATCCATTATTGTAACAGAAAGATCCCTGCTGGTTTCAATGGCCTCTGGATCAGGTCCTAATCTCTTACATATAATTACACACCTGGTAACCTTTTAGGAATGAAAAAAACACTTTTTTGTAACACTAAGTGCATTGCTTTAGCTCTGTAATTTAGAATTATTTCTGTCCAATACACTTGATACTTGAAAGTTACTAATTTCTGAACACTTTAAAAGCCAGTATCACCCAGTGCTTCCAGATGTTGCCAGCTTGCCAAGGACTGACCCATCAATGAAGAAAGTTGTAGTGAGATTTTTACTTTACTTTAGAGATTACCTTGTAATGATGCTGCTGCTGCTGTAAAGCATGGCTGAGACACCACTTTCCAGTCATCTGGATATGCAAAATCTTCCTCTATATATTTAGAACATCTCCAGCTTGGCTGGGGAAACTAAGGGCCTGTTCCCTTTATTCAGCAGG